TAGATATGTAATTGTTGTCACTTTGTTGTTCATAATTTTTATCCTTATCTTTTTATTCTTCCTCTTCTTAAAGGCTATCCTTCAGCATTTCATATAATATGAATGATTTGGCAGTGATGAATTCCTTTAGCTTTTTCCTATCTGCAAAGCTCTTTATCTGACCTTCAATTCTTGATATTTAAAAATATATATATATATTTTATTGATTTTTTTAGAGAGAGGAAGGGAGAGAGATAGAGAGTTAGAAACATTGATGAGAGAGAGTCATGGATCAGCTGCCTCTTGCACACCCCCTACTGGGGATATGCCCGCAACTAATGTACATGCCCTTGACCGGAATTGAACCCAGGACCCTTCAGTCCCCAAGCCGATGCTCTATCCATTGAGCCAAACTGGTCTCGGCCTGACCTTCAATTCTAAATAATAGCTTTGCTGGGTAATCTTGGTTGTAGGTTCTTGCTATTCATTACTTTGAATATTTCTTGCTACTCCCTTCTGTTCTGCATAGTTTCTGTTGTGAAATCAGCTTACAGTCATATAGGTATACCCTTGTAGGTAACTATTTTTCTCTTGCTGCTTTTAATATTGTCTTTTGCCGTTGGCATTTTAATTATGATGTGTCTTTGTGTGGTCCTCTTTGGATTCCTTTTGTTTGGAGTTCTCTGTGCTTACTGGACTTGTAAGTCTATCTCTTTTACCAGGGGAAGTTTTCTGTCATTATTTCTTCAAGTAGGTTTTCAATATCTTGCTCTCTTCTTCTGGCATCCCCATAATTTGAATGTTGGTATCCTTGAAGTTGTCCAGAGGTTTCTTACACTATTTTATATTTTTGGATTCTTTTTTCTTTTTGCTTTTCCAGTTGGGTTTCTTTTTTTTTTCTTCTTCTTCTTCTTTGTATTTCAAATCTTTGACTTGATTCTTGCGATCATCTAGTCTGCTGTTAGATCTCTGTATATTGTTTTTTTAATTTCAGTCAGTGTATGCTTAATTTCTAGTTGGTCCTTTTTTATTTCCTTGAGGTTCTCACTAAATTTACTGGCAGTTTCTAGAATATTCTTGAGTAACCTTATAACCGTGGCTTTGAGCTCTATATCCAGTAGTTTGCTTTCCTCCATTTATTTCATTTGTGACCTGTTTCTTTGTCTCCGCATTTTGGCTGCTTCCCTGTGTTGATAGGGTGGCTTTGTGTGCTAGGTGTTCTATAGGGCCCACTGGCTGAGTCTTTCCAGTTACCTGAGGTGGACACTCTTGGTGCACCCTTTTGTGGGCTGCATGCATAGTCTTGTATATTTAAGCCTTGATTGTTGTAGATATCACTGGGAGGAATTTACCTCCAGGCCAATTGTGTCTATGATGGGGAAACTTCTATGCTGGAGACACCTTATGGGACAAGACTTGCTTCAGTGGGGCTTTGGCACTCACTGAGTCTGCCCCCTGAGTGTGTCTCTTAATGATCTGAAAAGTTGTAGTCTGAATGTCTCTCTCTGACCATTGGACACACTGGCTCTTGGTTCTCCAAGGAGAGAGGCTACCCAGCAGAGCTACAGAGATCTGCAGATTTCTCCTCTGTTTGGGTTTGGAGGTGCCCAGATGAGGCCCATCTGTGAAGCAATGCAAGCTGCTGTGGAGCCTTGGTCTTCTTTTGGAGGCTCTGGGGCTCTTTGACCCAGTTGCAGTATGTTAGGTTTCAGATTGCAAAGGGCCAGGCCATTCATATGCAAAAGCCTCTGTGCACAGCTTGGGTGGGGTTGTAAATTGGGTGGGATGGGTCTCAGGGAATCACCAGGGTGGAGCAAACAGCTATGGCTGACCATCAGTCCTACCTGGAAGAGATCCTGTGTCTCTGTGTCTCACAGCACTGCGTAGGAACAATGATCGCTGCAAGCACCTCTGAGAGAAAGCCATCCTCAAATTCTGCCCCATGCCTCACAGGCCAGTTTCTTCCCATATGAGTCTGGGTTCCCAGAGTCTTGCCTAGAACTGGAGTTCAGAGCAGTTAGAGCTCTCAATTGAAAAAGACAGCAGCATACTCAGTTGCCAGCCCCTTTTGAGTGTGCCTCAGTACCTCTGTATTTCACTTCTGTATCTCTGTACCTCCTCTGTGTCTTAGTGTTTTTCTCTTTCCTTCTAGTTGTATAATTTCCACTCAGCCAGCCTTCCTGTGGTTCTAGATGATACCTATTTTTTCTTTTAGTTGTAGTTTTGAAGTGGTTGTGTGAGGCAGCAAGTTCAGGTGCTTACCTGTGCCGCCATCTTAGTTTCTGGCCTTTCCTTTCTTAGTAGTGAGCTGTTAGGCTTCATCTCAAGCACAATTTCCCCAGGGTGGGCAGTGCCTTAGGGATCTCTCTGTCCTGTGGGGCAGAATTCCAGCCAACAAGTGGATAGTGATTTGTTGTGGTAAGGGCTTTCACAAGACTTTGACCTCAAGTGCCACTTGAAGATTCACACTAATGAGCAGCAACAAGGTCATAGAGTGGCTTCTGGATCCTGGGTGGGGGTGAAATAAAATGGAGGGAGGTGCCCTGGATGTAGAGTTTTTTTTGTTTGTGTTTGTGGAGGAGAGACTCAGCTTGGAACACCACATACTTAATCAGATGGGTGTAAAGATAGTACCAGAGTAGGGGTCTGCTGTGGGTTGTAAAGTGAAGACAGGTACTGGTTACAGGATACCAAATTGAAGTGTGCAAAGAGAAGCCTCCCTCCACCCTCCTAGCTGCAGAACATCCTGGTGAGGAGGACACAGGTGCGTGGCCCGTGTTTGTACTGAGGCTGCAGATGGTGGGGTAGAGGCTGCACTTAGAATAGAAATGGGGAAACATTCAGGGGGCAAGGTGGGTTGGCTTTGGTCAAGAGGTCACTGCCCTGTCTGTCCTATCCACCCAGGGATCCATCTTTTCCACTGTAGGTTTTGCTGGAAAGCCATTTACACAATAATGCTTGCTTGAAACACATCTTGCGAAGATGCACGGTCAGCCAGCCAGCTACACTTACTGCTTATTGTGAGCTCCGTAAGAAGTTACATGTGTGCAGGGACTGTGGCTTCACTAGCTCGAACCCAAAGCTTTCACGCAGCACCAGGCCCTGCACTGCGCAGCTTGAGACTGTACACCCGGTGTCCAACCCATGAGAGGCAAAAAAACACACACAAAACAAAACACAGGCTATGCATTCACAGAACAGAGTATTTATTACACATGGGGAAGAGTGGTTCACTCCGTCCAGCGGTGGCCGCAGTGAGGGGCAGTGCACACATAGTACAAGCGCATAGCGTCCTGGCAAAAAGGATGCAAGATTAGGAAGGTTCTGGACCCAGGGGAGGGCGCAACACAGAACGTCCATTCAGCAGAGCCTCACCCTCCAAAAAAGACAAGGGGCTTTTCCCACTGGTAAGGGCTCAGCTCAGACGCCAGGAAGGGCAGGCTCCCCTCAGTATTGGTATTCCCGCTCCCAGGAAGGACCAAGGACACAGGATATCCAGAAAGCCTTCATGCCACTCACCTCCGCACGGGCACTGTGGGACTGGAAAAATACCGCCTCCTTGTGGCCGCACCTGAGGGGACAATTAGCCACTCAGTAACCTAACCCTTCCTTCCTCCTCCCCTTTCCGTCGGGTGAGGCCGAGCCCCTCTCCCTCCGCAATAGACAGCTGCGCGCTCACTTCTGGCACGGGTGGTCCTCGGTTCGCGGCAATGTGGGGTCCTGGGACACGTCAGCGATGATTTGGGTCAGTTCGCTGAGGGAGAAGAGGGTGGATAATTATGCTCTGACAGTGGCTCTAAGAACCCCGTCCCTAAAGTCCAGTCCTGCACTCACTCCACTTCGTGCGTGATTTTGTTGACGTAGATGCAGCTGTTGTCGGCTTCCTGCTGGTAATCACAATTCCGGCACTGCGGGAGGGCGAGTGTGGCCGGGAGGAGGCCATTGAAAGGGAGGGCAGGGTCTTCCCCGCAGAGGATGATTAGGGGTCTCAAGGTTGGGATAATGGGGTGTATCGAGAATCACCTCGAGATAGGGAAAGGCGGGGATTCGAATTCATTTTGGGTCAGAAGAAACCAGGACAGTCGGGCGGCAGAGAGTAGCGGTCATGGGGAGTGGGGCGAGGCCACGATGGGAACGGGTGGACCCAGGGAAGACCGCGGACTCGTGCTCACCGCGTACAGCAAAATGCGGTTCTCCTTGTCCTCCTTGGGGTAAAGCATGTTGTTACTGTGGGGACGGGAGGCCAGAAGTCAGTCTGGGGCCATTACTTGCTCCCCTTCCACACCTGTTGCCCCGTCTCACCATTCCTGGCAGAATCGAATACCCACGAAACCCGGCTCGTAAGTCCCGTCGGGTTCCATGGCGCAGCACTGCCTGCCAAGCCTTCCGCGCTCGCTCCGCCTCACGACCGGTCGCGGGAAGGGTCAGTTTTACTGGCTTCGCCGAGAAAGGGGCGGAGCTGCACACAAGCACTGGCTGCTCGCGGCTTTGTGCTCGGCTCTCTGCGTTTAGATTTGATTAATTACCTGCTTCAATCTTTTGGTATCCTAAAGTAATTGGTTCTGAATGTGGGCCTCGCTTCCCCAGTTTATAGAGTAGTACGGGACGAGAGCCGGGAAAACGACGCGTCGCGTAACGCGAAAAGCACTTAGCAATACTGCCAGAAGCCATTGCTCTCGGGGGGCCGAGAGCACATGCGCGAGTTACCCTCCGGGCGGGGTGGGGAAACGCCTGCCAGTCCTTCTCCCGGCTTCACCCGCGCCGCCCGGCCGTTTCCCGGGCTGCTATTGGAAGACCTGCACCCAGCCCGGCCTCTCAGGATTGGCTGGACCTGCTAGGAAAACGGGAGCGCTTCCGGGGCTGAGGAGACAGCGGCGATTGGCGGACCTCCCCTGCAGGAGCGCGCGGATTGGCAGGTCGGGAGCGGGGAGAGGTTGATATCCCCGTAGTGGCCTCGGCAGAGCTGGCGTGCGGCGGCTGACGGGGCTGCAAACTCCCCACCACCACCCCCAGAGCGCAAGATGGAGGTGACGGGGTTATCGGCGCCCACCGTGACCGTTTTCATCAGCAGCTCTCTCAACAGCTTTCGCTCCGAGAAGCGGTACAGTCGCAGCCTCACGATAGCTGAATTCAAGGTGTGGCCGAGGGGCGGGGTCCGGAGGGGATGGGCGCAGGAAAAATGGATGGGCTTCCCGATCGCAGGGAGGGGCCAGAAATAAACCGAGGTTGCTAGGATTCGGGACCGGGCCTCAGTGGGGCGAGGCCAGAAGGAACCGGAGGTGCCAGAGAAGTGGGCAAGGCCTGGGAAAATCAGAGGTTTCAGGGGGCGGGGACAAGAGCAGAGCGGGCAAGGCCAGTGATAACCACTTGGGTCCTAAAAGGATGGGTCTCTTGGAGGAGTAAGGATGGGGTGATGGTTATTGATACAAGGGGCAGAGAGTCTGGGCAGAGGGTCGAGTCACTGACAGACTTCCTCCTCTCCAACTTCTCCACATCCCTTACTCCTCGAAGTGTAAACTAGAGCTGGTGGTGGGCAGCCCTGCGTCTTGCATGGAACTGGAACTTTACGGAGCTGACGAGAAGTTCTGCTGCAAGCTGGATCAGGAGGATGCGCTACTGGGCTCCTACCCCGTAGATGATGGCTGCCGCATCCATGTGAGTCCTCCCTACCTGGGATCTCTCTTCTCCATTTATTTATTTATTTTTAATATGCTTGTATTGATTTTAGAGAGAGGGGAAAGGAGAGGGATAGAAAGATAGAAACATTAATGAGAGAGAAACATCGATGGATTGCCTCCTGCACCCCCCCTTCTGAGGCCCAGCCTGCAAGCGGGCCTGTGCCCTGGGAATCAAACCCAGATCTCTTGGTTTCTGGGTCGTTGGCCAATCACTTAGCCACAAGCTGGGCTCCATTCATTATTCATTCATTTATTTTCCATTCATTTATTTAACAAATGCTTTGTCCTGTGTGATAACCAAGATAGGCCCCCATGAAGCCTGTAGTCCAGTATGGAGAGAGTGGTTTGGGCTGGGGCAAGCCCAGATAACTGGGGACACACAGAAGAGGTGTGTCCCATCTGGGATTATCAGAAGGGGATTTCTGAAGAAGAGATGCCTAAGCTGAGACCTGAAGAATGAGGAAAGGACGGTTTAGGAGAAGAGGTGGGAAGGGATGCCAGCTGGAGGAAGCAGTATACAGAGGCCTATAGTGTGAGGTGGGTCAGGGTGAGCAATGAGATGTGTTGGGAGAAGCTGGAACACAAAGGACCTCTGCATTCATCAGCTCATATAATCTTCTCTGTCCTCACACCCACCCCGACCCTCTGCCATATTCTTCAGGCATCTCAGCATCCCAGGTGAGGTTACCTTCAAATATGCTATACATTGAATTTAATACCAGTGCTCCTCCCTGGCCCAGCCTCCATCCTCTCCCTCCTGGACATACAGCCACCTCTGTCTCCTGCTCCCATCACCCCTTTTGCCCCCAGATGTGTTCTCCACACACAGTCAGAGGGAATCTATGAACTCTCCTAGCTCATAGCCTCCCTGGCTGCACCTCATTCCAGGTAAAAGCAAAGTCTGTGTGTCTCCCATGTCCCTGGCTTATTCACACAAGCCATGCTGGTCTCCCTGATGTTCCTCAAAAGGACTAAGGACAGTTCTATAGCTGGGACTTTGTGCCTGCTCCTTTTCATCCTTCAGGCTTTGGGTCAGACATTCCCTCCATTTAGAAGCCTTCCCTGACTATATTCCCAGGCTCCTTAAGCTTCTTTGCGGTATTTTTTTTTTTTTTAACATCAAACTTTGTTATCTTTTGGTGTTTACTTTATTTTATTTTTTTAAATATATTTTATTGATTTTTTACAGAGAGGAAGGGAGAGGGATAGAGAGCTAGAAACATTGATGAGAGAGAAACACCAACCAGCTGCCTCTTGCACGCCCCCTACTGGGGATGTGCCCGCAACCAATGTACATGCCCTTGACCGGAATCGAACCTGGGACCCTTCAGTCTGCAGGCCGACGCTCTATCCACTGAGCCAAACCAGTTTTGGCTCTTTTGGTGTTTAATACGTACACCTGCATATTTTTATATGGTCGGTCTTCCAGCAGGCATTTATCTGTTTTTGCACTGCATCCCTAGCACCCAGCACAGGGTCCAGCTGGGTGCTTTGGAAAAGCTCAGCAAGCAGTGAGTTAATGAACCTTGAGGGTGATACAGGAAGAGATGCCCCAGGGTAGGGATGTTGAGGCTTCGTAAGAGGCTCTCAGAAGCCCAGAGAGTAGAGAGGACAGATGTGCTGCCTAGAGGGTTCATGTGTAAGACCCGAGCTACACCCTTTGGTTCTTGTGACTTGGGGGCCAGCAGTGATGTTGAAACCAGCATTCAGGGTTCATATAGGGGTGAGGAAAGGGAGATGACTAGTGCAGACACCTGGTATCATCCTTCTGCTCAGGTGATGGGAGAAGGCTGGGATAAAGTGAGGGTAGAATATAGTTTTTCTTAGACAGGAGAGACTTAAATCTATGAAAAGCTCCATTGTGCAACTGTACCACTCCTCCCAGCACCCCAAGCCTCCCTGACAAGACCCTGATCCCCTCTGACCCCTCCTGTTACTATAGGTCATTGACCACAGCGGTGCCAGCCTTGGGGAATATGAGGATGTGTCCAAGGTGGAGAAATACAAGATCTCACAGGAAGCCTACGACCAGAGGCAAGGTATGGGGCACTTGGGGATAAATGGGGTGTGTGGGGGCCAGAAGGAGTGTGTGTAGGTAGGTGGTGGTATTGGGGGACAGGCAACAGACAAGGACATTGAGGGGAAACTGGTTTTGAGGGGGCAGATGGCTGGGAGGTGTGAGGGACTGCGGGAGGCAGATAGGTACATGGGAAAGCAGAGGGGGCATGAGAGGGATCGATGTTGAGGGGTCAGGTGTGGGGAGCGTGGTCAGGGTCACATGAGGGCAGAGCATGGTAGAATGTGGAGTGGACAGGACAGTGTGGTGATCAGTGCACTGTGGGGAAGATGAGGGGTTCAGGGGACAGATGGAGGTGAATGTGATGCTGAAAGGATGTGGGAAGATGGGTTGATGTGAAAGACTGGAGACAGGAATCTGTCTTTTAGTATCTGGATTGTGGGGAGGCCCCAGAAAGCCTGGGGAGAGGCCAGGGCTGTGGTGAGAGACTTGGGGACTTCAATGATAGCCCTTTGACACCTAGAACAGAAGAGTTTCTCTCTGAATGTTAGCCCTGGGTGAGTGGAAGGTTATCTCATTAGACCAGAGCCCCAATAGGTAGACCGTGTCTGACCCCCATCCCCTACCCCACCCACAGACTCAGTTCGTTCCTTCCTGAAGCGCAGCAAGTTAGGGCGATACAATGAAGAGGAGCGGGCACAACAAGAAGCTGAAACCACCCAGCGCCTCACGGAGGAGAAGGCCCAGGCCAGTGCCATCCTTGTGGGTAGTCGCTGTGAGGTGCGGGCACCTGGGCAGCCCTCTCGCCGGGGCACCGTCATGTATGTAGGTATGTGGCCACTGAGGCCTTATGCCCTGCCCTGCCTGATGTGGGCAGTGCAGGGGACCCAGCCCTCAAGGAGATCCCAATTTAGTAGGAGAGATAGACAAAGCAGCTAACAGGGACAACCCAGAATGTTCAGGGAAGGGAACTGGGAAGCAGAGGCAGAATGTCTGGGTTGTGATAGAACTGGAGACCAGAGTGGTTAGTTTTGAGGCAAAAGTGGTTAGAGCTAAGATGGGGAAACAGGCAGAACTTTTAGAGCTGTGATGGGGAAAGCACAGGCTGAATTGAGGAAAGCGTAGGAAGCTGTGTGAGCTGAGAGGAATCCAGAGTGCTTCCTTGGGGCAAGAACTATTTGAAGGAAAGGGAGAAGTGAGCCAGGTGCAAAGAGGGCTGAGTGTTCCAGCCAGAGGGAGTAATGAATGCAAGGGCTGTGAGCAGGAACAAACTTGACCAGTTGGAGGCAGAGAAAGGAAGTCAGCATGCCTAGTGGGGAGTGAGCGAAGGGGAGCATAGGCAGGGCTGAACCATGCATGACTTTGGAGATAGTAGAGAGGAGTGTGGGTTTTATTTCTTATAACAACTTTATTGAGATACTAGAGACTGGTTCATAAAATTTGTGCATGGGTATGGTCTCTAGGCCTGGCTGGCAATCAGGGCCAATCTGGGCCTTCCTTCTGCCAGCCCGGGCCTTCCTTTGTTCCATGCTGCCCCCCGGTGGTCAGCACACATCATAGGGAGTAATCCAACTCCTGGTTGAACTCCTGAGGGGACACTTTGCATATTAGTCTTTTATTTTTATATATGCACACACACACACACACATACATACATACACTAGAGGCCCATATACTACCCTGTTTCCCCGAAAATAAGACAGTGTCTTTTTTTTTAATATATTTTATTTATTTTTTACAGAGAGGAAGGGAGAGAGATAGAGAGCTAGAAACGTCAATGAGAGAGTAACATCGACCAGCTGCCTCTTGCACATCCCCTACCGGGAATGTGCCCGCAACCAAGGTACATGCCCTTGACCGGAATCGAACCCGGGACTCTTCAGTCCGCAGACCGACGCTCTACCACTGAGCCAAACAGGTTTTGGCAAGACAGTGTCTTATATTAATTTTTTCTCCCAAAGTTGCTCTAGGTCTTATTTTCAGGAGATGTCTTATCTTTCCATGCACTAGGTCTTATTTTCGTAGGATGTCTTATTTTCGGGGAAACACGGTAGAGTATACAAAATTCTCAGCCCAGCCTGCACCCTCTCCAATCTGGGATCCCTCTCACAATGCAGGACTTCTGGCTCCAAACTGCTCACTTGCTGCCTTCCTTGATTGCCCCTAACCGATTCTGTCTGCCAGCCTGATCACCCCTAACCATTCCCCTGCCAGCCTGATTGATGTCTAACTGCTCCTCTGCCAGCCTGTTTGCCACAACTGCCCTCCCTTGCAGGCCTGGTCCCTCCCAACTGCCCTCCCTTGCAGGCCTAGTCCTTTTCAACTGCCCTCCCCTTCTGGCCATCTGTGGTGGCCATCTTGTGTCCATTTGACCACATGGGGGCATCCATCTTGTGTGTTGGAGTGATGGTCAATCTGCATATTACTCTTTTATTAGATAGGATAAGAGGCCTGGTACATGGGTGGGGGCCAGCTGGTTTGCCCTGAAGGATTAGGGTGGGGGTTCCCTTGGGGTTTGGGGTGGCCTGGGTGAGGCGCCTGTGGTGACCCAAGCAGAGGCCCTGGTATCTGGGATTTATTTATCTTCTACAATTGAAACTTTGTAGCCTGGAGCAGAACCAAGCCTTCTGTTTGCTTCATGGTGGCAGCCATCTCTGTTGGGATTTATGTATCTTCTATAATTGAAACTTTGTAGCCTTAAGTGGAGGCCTGGGCCAGCCAGGGTGGGTGGAAAGCTTGGCTTCCTCCATCACTGGGGAAACCCAAGCCTCCCTCCTGCTTTCTCTCTGGCTGCAGCCATCTTGGTTGGGTTAATTTGCATACTCACTCCTGATTGGCTGATGGGCATGGCTTGTAGGTGTAGCAGGGTGATAGTTAATTTGCATATCACTCTTTTATTAGATAGGATATATATATATAATTAATATATCATAAAACTAAAACTCACTGATTTAAAGTTCATTGGTTTTTAGTATGTTCATAGAATTGTGCAACCAACACCACAGTCAATTTTAGAACATTTTTATCACCCCAAAAAGAAACCCCATAATCACTAGCTGTCACTCCTCATTTCTGAAACCCTGTCTCTCCTAGTCCTAGGAAGTCATACAGATTTATCTGTTCTGGATGTTTTATATAAATAGAATAATGCTATAGTATGTGGTCTTTTGTGACTGCCTTCTTTTACCTAGCATATTTTCAAGTTTCATTCTGCAGCATGTATTAAAATAATGTTGTTATGTACATTCTTATATAAGTTTTTGTGAGGGTATATATTTTCCTTTATACCTAAGAGTAGGGTTGCTGGGTTATATGGTAACTCTATATTTAACCTTTTGAGGAACTGCCGATTATTTCCTAGAGTGGCTGCAATTTCTCCACATGATAGTTATTCTAATGGGTGTGAAGTGGAAAAGCATATAGGTTTGATTTGCAGTTCTTTGATGGCCAATGATATTGAGCATCTTTTCATGTACTTAATGGCAATCTATATATTTTCTTTAGAGAAATGTCTATTCAGATCCTTTTGCCTATTTTTAAATTGAATTTTTTGTCTTTTTGTTGTTGAGTTGTATATTAGTTTGCTAGAACTGCTATAACAAAATATCACACACTGGATGGCTTAAACAACAGAAACTTATTTCTCATAGTACTGGAGGCTAGAAGTCCAAGATCAAGGCCTTGTCATGTTTGGTTTCTTCTGCCTATCGTTGGTTTGTAGAAGGCCACCTCTTCTCTGTATCTTAACATGGTCTTTCCCTCTTTGTGCATCGGCTCATTACTGGTATCTCCAAATTTCTTCCCATAAAGGACACCAGTCAGTTTTAATCACACATTAACTTAATCAAAAGCTCTTTATGTATTCTAGATACAATTCCCTTATTAAATATGATTTGCAAATGTTTTCACCTATTCTGTGGGTTGGTTTTTGTTTGTTAATTATTTATTTAATCTTTATTGTTGAAAATATTACTTATGTTCTCTTTCCCTCCTCCCCCCCTCTGGGTTGGTTGCTTTTACTTTCCTGATAGTGTCCTTTGTCTTTTGAAGCACAAAGGTTTTTTTTTATTTTTATGAAGTTCAGTTTTGTTTTGTTTTTCTTTTGTTGCTTGTGCTTTAGGTATAATAACTAAGAAACCAGTGCTAATACAAGGTCACAAAGAGTTATGTCTGTATTTTTTTCTAAGAAGTTTTATATATATACTAGAGGCCTGATGCACGAAATTCATGGAAGGAGCTTGGCCCTCACAGCCCCAGCTTTGTCTGGAAGGTCGTCCAGCTATTCGGTTTAATTAGCATACTACACTTTATTATAGTAGATATATATTTCAAATCTCAGCTGACTTTTTCCCCCTCTTTTTCCCATCACCATTTATTCCCTCCCACCTTCATCTACCTTCACCCACCCCCCTCTCCTCTTTCTAAGACTTTTATAGTGTTACATCTTACATTAGGGCTTTGATAACCCTATTTTGTGTTATTTTTTGTGTATAGTATGAGATATGAGTCCAGCTTCATTCTTGCATGCATATATATATATCTTGTTGTCCCAGATATTATTATTATTTTTTATTGATTTCAGAGAGATTCAGGGAGAGGGAGAGATAGAATCATTGATTGGATACCTCCTGCACATCCCCTACTGGGGATGGACCCCGAAACCTGGGGTTGTGCCCTTGACCAGTATCGAACCTAGGACCTTTCAGTCCATACACCGACGCTCTCTCCACTGAGCCAAACCAGCTAGGGTGTTCCAGCATTATTTGTTGGAAAGACTATTATTTTCTCATTGAATTGTCTTGCTACCTTGTCAGAAATCATTTGACTATAAGCAGTGTGGACTTTATGCTGAGTGGGATTGGCAGCCTTTGAGGAATTTGGATCAAGATAGTGGCGCTATTTCTCTTTGATTTTTACAAAGACCCCTCTGGCTGGGAATGTCGAATGAGTAGGGAGTAAGGAGTAGGAGCAGAGCAACCAGTGCAAGGGGCTACCACATTAGTCTGGGCAGGAGATGGTGATGTTCCCAGTAAGGATAGTTTTCCTCTATGGGCAGGCACAGATCTGGGATGCGCTGTGTCTGGAGTTTATTGGGATTTTTCCTCTGGGCAGGACTCACAGATTTCAAGCCTGGCTACTGGGTTGGCGTACGCTTCGATGAGCCACTAGGGAAAAACGATGGCAGGTAATAAGTATTCCACTCAGGTGTTTGTGTGTGTGTCTGTGCTTGCCTATGTGAGCATATATGTGTAAGTGCATGCATATACTCCTGGGCGAGCCTATCCATCCTAGCATCTGGGGAGGGAACCATGTTGGGAGCTGCCTGACCACCAACTTTTCCATCATGCCCGGCAGTGTGAACGGGAAACGCTACTTTGAATGCCAGGCCAAGTACGGTGCCTTCTTCAAGCCATCAGTTGTGACCGTGGGGGATTTCCCTGAGGAGGACTACGGGTTGGATGAGATGTAATGCCCAAGGAAGGGCATCCTCTTGCTCTAGCTACCTTGCCCACTTACTGCCCTTCCTTATGTGTGCCCATGACTCTTCCCCTGACCCGGTTTTTATTTTATTCACTTTGTTCTTGCCTTTGACTTTTGAGACTTGTGTATTAAATTTGCTGGACCTAACCCTGGCCAAGTAGCTCAGTTGGTTAGAGTGTCGTTCCTATATGCCAAGGTTGTGGGTTCAAATCCCATACAAGGTTCAACCAATGAATGCATAAGGAAATGGAACAACAAATCAATCTCTCTCTCTCTCTCTCTCTCTCTCTCTCTCTCTCTCTATTTCTCTTTCTCCTTCCACCCCTCTTTCCCTCTCTCTCTAAAATTAATAAATTAAAATTATTATTTTTAATTGCCAGACATGGGAAGCTTTAGAAGACTTGGTGATATAGGAAGGGCTGGGCAGCTGGGTAGGTAAGAGTGAAATAGGAGGCTGAGCAAAGTAGATGTAGGACAAGGTGAAGCTTTATCCCCTCACCAGTAGCTGGAGGCTCATGAGACTCTTTTGTGTTCTTTATTGGTTAATATAATATTCTGCTGCTATGACAGATAGACCCACAATAATAGTAGTTTTTGCAAGATTGAAGTTCATTTCTCTCCATGTAAAGACTTATGCAATCATAAGAACTAATGTGCCCCCTCCATGTCAGATGCCAGTCTTCATCTCCATATATCTTATTGCTCTCCCATCTCCTCCTCCTGATTCCTACCTTATCTGCTCTAGGCACCCGGAGCAGGGAGGAGGGGATACCCCTTGTCTTTAGGAATATATAACTCAAAACTTGATCCTGTTAGGTCTGATCAAATAATTTTGACCAGTAGTTGCCAATTGGTGGTCCTCGGACCACTGGTGGTTCATGAGGTCTGAAAGGTTGGCGGACGCTGCTTTAGATCACTTCACAACTGACATTCCATTTGCTAAGACCATTAACCTTCTCCTCCTGACCTTCCCAGGATTTGGACACCCAGAGAATTCTCCACCCAGAAAAAGCCCACTTAGAGTCCTTTAAAACCTCCTATTCCCCATCCTCGTTGCTGGTGCCAATTGGGAGCTCAGCTCATCTGGGTTTCCAGATGACCTAATAAATTCATAATTCTTTACCACTTTCAGCCTTGTATGTACCTTTTTCAGTAGCCCTAATAGTTTCTATTTTGTTGGCTAGAATTCTGTCTTGTGGCCATTTATAACTGCAAAGGGATTGAGAAATCCTTTCTTTCTTTTTTTAACTTTTTCTTTTTTCCTCTGCCCTAATATATATTACAGTAATTACCCTGCACACAATTTCTTCACTGTTTCTCCTCCTATCACACCTTTCCTGGCTCAAGTCTGGATCAGCACATTTTTAAAGAAGTCTGTTTATTGAAAGAATCTGAAAATAGTAATAAGGCTTTCAACAACATTTAATAAAATTTCGGGATATTAACAATATGAAACATCATGAATTTACTTAAAAAATGCATAGCTTTTTAGACCATCCCAACATCATGCTGCTTCAGGGCGGGAGTAGTGCTGGCGTTTTATCTACACAAATGAAGAAATTTCATTTTTATTTGGGCTGCTATAACAAACACCCCTCCCCCACAGTCTGAACTAGGGATTCTGCATAATTGGCAGCAACCTCCATGTGGTGATTCATATACCCAGTCTCCATCTTGTGGCTCCATCATTTCTATGGGCTCAAAATTATATGCTGCCAGCTAGCAAATAGGAGAACACAATGTGGAGGAAGTTCACCATATTCTTTAATAACCTGTTGTACACATTTCACTTCTCATATTAAAAAAAAAAAACAACCACAAATATTTATTGATTTCAGAGAGGGAGAGAGAGATAGGAACATCAACGATGTTCCTGCCTCCTGCACGCCCCACACTGGAGATCGAGCCCACAACCTGGGCATGTGCCCTGACTGGGAATTGATCTGTGACCTCTTGGTTCATAGGTCCATGCTCAATCACTGAGCCATGCCAGCCAGTGCAGTGCCCCTAGATGCAAAGCGGGCTTTGGAACATACTCCTGTGCTGAGCAGCTCACTCCTAGCCACTACTATAAAAAAGACATGGGGCCTCGACGGTTGCTTCAGTGGATAGAGCATCAGCCTGTGGACTGAAGGGTTCCAGGTTCAATTCCAGTCAAAGGCATGTGCCTGGGTTGTGGGCTCCATCCCCAGTGGGGGATGTGCAAGAGGCAGGTTATCAATGATTCTCTCATCATTGATGTTTCTCTTCCCCTCTCTTCCTCTCTGAAATCAATAAAAATATATTTAAAAAAGAAGAAGAAGAAGGAACCATGGATTTTGGTGGGCCCAGTATTGAAGCATTGACCACCCTCTGCCTATTACCACATCTGTAACTTCAGGGGAAGCAACAGGAACAGGAGGGATTTCCTTCCACCAGACCCATTAAATCCTCCCGCCCCCTGACAACTGCCCTTCCCTAATTTGCGCCCTCCAGCACCTTCTTAGTCCTCCGGTCAGTGGAGATGAAAGACAGTGAATGTCTAACTCTCCCTACAGTTTTTGAGCCCCTGTTGTGTGGCAGGCCTGATGCTGGGAACACATTCATGAATTGGACATAGAACTAGCTGAAGAGTTGAAGGCAGACATTACCAAACATTGCCTTTTATCTACTTTTGGCTGTTATATTTAATTATGAGTAAGTTTGCTGGTAGTGGGGGAGAGAGAACAAACCACTAAATCTGCAGGGTGGTGCTGGTACTAAGGAAAGGATGAGAAACACTGAGTAGGAGTCACTGGAACAAAAGGGCATTGTAGGTCTGAAGTAACCCCTTCTTTGATTCCTGCTGATCAGAAACTTGATCCCCAAGCTATACGAACTTAGGCTGAATGCAACCTTTGCCCTGTAGCAAGGCTAAATCACCAACTCAGACAAGCTAATGGTCCATGTAAGTTGATTCCTGTACCAATTTACAACTTGGCTTAATTCACAAGGTTAAGAGGTGCCTTCATGAAGAAGAGCACAGACTTTGAACTGGACAGCTAACTTAGGTCAGACCCCAGCTCTCACGCACCAGCTGGCAGGCGGAATAGTAACTATTCCTTTTCTTTGGGTTTCAGCTTCATTCCTGTAAAGTGGGGCCAATAATAGTACCGACCACCAGTGATTGTTGTAAGCATTAAATGAGCTAATAAATGTAAAGTGCTTAAATTCAGAACCAAGCACATAGGTAAATGCTTCCTCAGATTAGCTGTATATAAACGACTACATAGCTCTAGCCAGTTTGGCTCAGTGGATAGAGCGTCGGCCTGCAGACTGAAGGGTCCCAGGTTCTATTCCGATCAAGAGTGCATGCCAGGGATGCAGGTCCGATCCCCAGTGGGGGATGTGCAAGAGGCAGCCAATCAATGATTCTCATCATTGATGTTTCTATCTCTCCCTTTCCCGACCTTTCTGAAATCAATAAAAATGTTTAAATAAAAACAATATATATTACAATAAACAATTACCATGTTGGCTTTCATTTAATCCTCACAGTGAACTCTGCCCCCAATTTCTTCACTGTTTCTCCTCCTATCACACCTTTCCTGGCCCAAGTCTGGATCACCCACTCAGAGAGGGACCCCCTTATTTTCTTTTTCATCTTTTTTGTAATCCTCCCCGAGGATACTTTTTATTAGGCACATTCTTGCGCTCCATAATGCCCTGCTTGGGGCTCTTGCCCCTCCTGGCGATTTTCCTGTTGTCCTCATTATAGATTTCATGATGAATGGCCTTTAGTTTCCAGTGAACCAGCTACACCTGGCCCCCACCTCCACCTGGTCCCTCTCCCTTCCTCTCTGTAAAAAAAATCAATAAAATATATATTTTTTAAAAACTGAGGCAGCTGATTGATGTTTCTGACTATCTCCCTTTCTCTCTGTAAAAAAATCAATTAAAAATATATTTAAAAACGGAATTATTTGTTTTTATGGGATGGCTTTCTTGCTTTTCTTCTGCCCTAAGGTGTTAAAAACACTGAAAGTTACCTCTGATAGTTGCTCAGTGGGGGTCTAAGGTCCTAAGGCTAGTTTTGGTAATTTTTTTTAATGCCTGAGGGTAAAAAGTATCCCCAAAATTCTTGGCCCTTAACAGACCCAAATAATTTCTTTAATATGTATTTTATGTATGACTTCCCTTAGTGATAACATGCTAGGGTTTGGGTGATAATGAGTTCCGCTCCTGATAGTGGTAGGACTGTTAGGCAAGTGCCTGCAGTTCTTCAAACAAGTGTCTGAGTCTTTTTTTTTTTTTTTAAGAATAAACCTTAAGCTTCACTTCTGTTTCTTTTTTTAATATATATATTTTTTATTTTTTACAGAGAGGAAGAGAGAGGAATAGAGAGTTAGAAATATCGATGAGAGAGAATCATTGACCAGCTGCCTCTTGCACACCTCCTACTGGGGATGTGCCCCCAACCAATGTACATGCCCTTGACTGGAATCGAACCCGGGACCTTTCAGTCCGCAGGCTGACGCTCTATCCACTGAGCCAAACCAGTTTTGGCAGTGTCTTGAGTTTTGTAGCAAAGAAAGGGTTGAACAGCTGCCCTTCCTGGGAAAGAGCCGGGTGGAGGATGGAGGAAAGCAGCTGTTCTGTCTTTGTGAGAGGCAGGCAGTTTGCTGGGACTTCGAGAAAAGTTTTCCTTAAATCCCTATCTTGGTAAAAGGGCTATAAGTATTAGTA